TCACTTGGGGTGAGTGATGATGCTTGGCTCAGAATACTGGTTTGTTTCAGAAGCTCTCTTTTTTCTCTAAGGAAGACAGTGCTTGTTAGTTTTTTTCTGCTGGATTTGGGGAGCTCATAAATAGACTCCTCAGAATTAAACATAACCTTCCATGTCAACACTAAATATCTCTTTTTCTGTTTTCCTGCGTTTATTCAGCACATTTGTTAAGTGTGCACTATGTGCATGCATTGTTCTAGATGTTGTCGTATGGCAAGGTCTGCACTGTTCTAGATGTTGGGGATATTGCAAAGAACAAAAGAAAGTCCCTTACTCCATGAATGGACCCTACATTCTAGTTCACCATTGTATTCCCAGTGCCTGGCTTAATAAATTTTTGTAGAACGAATAACTGAATGATACCAGCTCTTGCTATGTTGTCTAAGCACAACTTTTTGGTGAAATGTGTTAATGATGTGCCATAGGAGCTTAATTTTTTTTTTTTTGAGGTGGAGTATCACTCTGTCGACCAGGCTGGAGTGCAGTGGTGTGATCTTAGCTCACTGCAGCCTCTGCCTCCTGGGTTCAAGTGATTCTCCTGCCTCAACCTCCCAAGCAGCTGGGATTACAGGCATGTGCCACCACTTCTGGCTAATTTTTAAAAAAATATTTTTAGTAGAGACGAGGTCTCACCATATTGGCCAGGCTGGTCCCAAACTCCTGACCTCAGGTGATTCACCCACATTGGCCTCCCAAACTGCTGGGATTATAAAGGCATGAGCCCCCGTGCCTGGGCAGAGCTTAAATGTTTTGAATTTCTATTTCTTCCTCCCTGCCTATGCCTTTTCCTCTAACTCCCAGAAGTCGTCAAAAAATTCTTAAAGAGAGGGGCCTGCAAATTCTACTAGTTGTTTTCAAACCAGACTCTAGAGTTTCCCCTGCTATGGGGAAATCTGAAAATAGGAGCCAGCAGGTCTGCCTTGGAAACAAGCAGATAATGGGTCTATGAGTCACTGATGTCAGGGGACTGCCTACTCCCCGGACAGCAGGTGCCAAGGGGGCTCTTGGTAAAAGTCAGATGCTGCTGCCTGTGGTTGGCGGTGTTGGCTTCAACTCAGGCAGTAGGAACCATCTAGCACCATTCTAAAAAAGGGGAAGCTTGCTGCTCCCCTGTGAATGATATCTGAAATAGGAAATGGGATTGTCAGAATGTGATCTCAGCTACCACATTTGAATGTGAAACTGGAGAGTTTGGTCATGTTTTCATTCCTATCAAAGTTGTAATTTATCAACAAGGAAACTGTGAAGGCACTAAAATTCTGGGAAGATGAATGCTAAGAAAAATACTGATCTAAAAATCCCTTAAAACCTAATAAACAGAATACTCACATCAGTTAATAAGAACGAGGTAGTATTATGTATACTAACAAGCGTTGCTTTCCAAGACATATTATTAAGTAGAAAAAGCTTGCAAATAGATGCATGCATGCCTTTTAGATAAACAAAATAAAACAAAATAAAACTCACTACCGATAATAACAGCACACACAATGATGCTACATCACAAGTACACATATGTGTTTATGTGTCCAGAAAAAGGTTTGTACCATATTGATAATAATGGTTACCCTGGGGAATGTGGGGGGTGGAGGTAGAAAAGGGATTAGCGTTGTGGACAGTCAACAGAGGAAATCTGAACTGTAATATTCCAATTTTTTAGAACACTATTTCATTTAGAAGTTTTAGAACTTAAAATTAATTTTAAAAATGTTAGTAACGTTAGAGTTGGCAAACATTCGACATAATCCTTAGCAAGGCAGGACATTAACCTCTTGATCAAGTTTGTTAAATAGATGTAGTTTTGTGGCTTTCTATCAATATGGCTTTCTACAAATACCCTGTCTGAAACAAACCGCATAAAAGGTGTCTGTATATTGCAGAGGTACAAATGTCATATGCAAGCCAAGTAGTGCTGGAGCAGACATTTCCCCCAACGAGCCTATATTATTTGAATTTGTTTAATAATATTGAATTCTGATATTTCTTCAGGGTTTTATAAAGGTTTTAAAACTGTGTCATTTGAGTCTGACAACTGTGTTGAATAGGGTAAGACTTGTCACCTCTATTTCACAGATTAGAAAATTGAGGTTCAGAAAAATAAGTGACATGTTTAAAAATCAAAGTTAGTAATGGGGCACAGCACCTATATTTTCCAGGAGCTGAATGCTCCAATTTCTCCATTCTCAGCAAATCCAACTCCAATAGTTCCTAGTAGTTGTCTGTCCTTAGATTTCATTTTCTTGCTAGCTGAGTTCACATTTTGGGACCCTCCTTTACCCACTTTCTACTTGAACCTAGGTGGATTATCTCAAAATCCAAAATCTAATTTCAGAATACAGTCATTTTTACCAGGGGATTTTCCAGCCAGTAGGAAGTGTGCTTTCTAAAACCACACTCAGCCTTCATCCTGGCACCAGGTGCAAGTGGTAAGCGACATGGTGTGGGCATGACAACACAGTCCTGTGCTGTCTGGTGACAGCTGGTTCTCTGTCACATCCTGTTAATGTTTCATGATGGGTCCATATCCCGTCTCCTCAGCTAAGCCAGAGGCTGCAGGGACCTTCTGTTATTTTTACTTATCCCTTAGTAGCCTCTCAATGAATATGTACTTGATAAGTCCCTTCACCCTCACACTGTAGCTGGAACAGGACAAACCTGTGTGTAGTAAGACACTTTTAAAAATAATTCACCGCCCATGAGGACTGACACTTTCATAAGCTCTTGCTCCTCCTCCTCACCCTCCAAACCGGTTCCTCCCACACTCCTCTATCTCAGCCAGTGGAGATTCAGCCTGCAAGTTTATAAATCCAAAACTTGGGACTCACTTTTTTCTTTTTTTCTTTTTTTTTTCACACCCTACTTACAATCCTTCAGCATATTCTGTTGGCTCTACCTTCAAATTCCATCCAGGGTCCAGCCATTCCTTATCACCTAGACTGCTACCACCCACCACCCTGGTCTAAACCACTGTCATCTGTCACCCGGACCATTAGAATGGCCTCTATATACATCTCCCTTGACACCTAGATTTTTCTCAAGACAGCAGCCAGTGGATCCTTTTACCATCTTAGTCAGACCATATCGTTCCCTCTACTCAAAAACCTCTAAAGATTTGCTCAGCTCATGTGGAGCAAAATCCAGAGTCCTTGCAATCAATGTCCTACAACGTCCCATGTTCCACTACCTCCTATAACTCTTCCCCTTCCATAGCCCTCTTCTCTCTAGGGCCCCTGGAATCCATACTCTCTCACAGGTACCCTATAGTTCATTCTCCCTCCTCTAGGGTTTTGCCCATAGCGTTCACTCTGCCTGAAACACTCTTCCTGGCAGTATCATGGCTAGCTTGCTCACCTCCTTCAAGTTTTTCTTACATGCCACAGTCTCTGCGAGGCCTTCCCTGACCACCTCATTTAAAAGTGCAGGCACCACTCCCCTCCACGCAACACACACACGCATGCGCACACGCACGCACACGAACGCACATGCGCGCGCGCACACACACATACACACCCCCCGCTCTCCCTGGCACTTCTTATTCCCTTCCTCGCCTTATTTTTCTCCATAGTACATATCAGCTCCTAACATACTGAATAATGCTTTGTTTGTCTGACTTCCCACTAGAACGTTTGCTCCATGAGAGTAAAGATTCGTATTTGTTTCATTCACTGCTGTATTCCCAGCTCTTAGAAAATGCCTGGCACATAACACATGAGATGCTCCATAAATATTTGTTGAATAAATCAGACTGGAAAAGACAACACTTTAGATTGAACCTTGTATTTGGCGAGGGTATAGGGAAATAGATACTTTCATATGTTGCTGGTCAGAGTGCAAATTCGGATTATTTCTTTGGGGAGCAATTTGGCAAGATCCATCAAAATTAAAAAGGCCCCAGACCAATGACCCAGCAATTCAACTGCCAAAATTTATCCAATAGATATTCTTTTTTGTTTTTAAATTAATTTTTTTTTTTTTTTTTTTGAGACGGAGTCTTGCTCTGTCACCCAGGCTGGAGTGCAGTGGTGTGATCTCGGCTCACTGCAACCTCCGCCTCCCGGGTTCAAGCAATTCTCCTGCCTCAGCCTCCTGAGTAGCTGGGACTACAGGAGCGTGCCACCACGCCCGGTTAATTTTTGTAGCTTTAGTAGAGATGGGGTTTCACCATGTTGGCCAGGATGGTCTCGATCTCCTGACCTCTTGATCCGCCCCCCTCGGCCTCCCAAAGTGCTGGGATTACAGGGGTGAGCCACCGCGCCCGGCCTATCCAATAGATATTCTTGCAGATGTGTTCAAATACGTTGGTTCAAGAATGTTCACTGCAGCATTATCTTAATAACAAAAGGCTGGAATCCACCCATATGTCTATCGATAGGGGTCTGAGTAAGTAACATGTGGGCATCCTTAAAACTGCTTAGCATGAAACTGTTAAAATGAGAGGAGGATATCCACGCGCTGACATGGGACAGCCTCCATGATACAATGAGTCAAACAAGCCAGGTGCAGAAATGTGTGGAGTTTGCCGCTGTCTGGGTCAAAGGGAGGAGGACAGGTACATGTATTAACAAGTCTGTACAAGCACAAATAAATACAACTGCATATAAATAAATAACTCTGGAAACTCACAAGTGGTTGCTTCACAAATAGGGGCTACTTAAGGACTAGGAGGTTTGAAAACAATTTTTTAAATCATTGTAAATATATTACTTTAAAAAAAAACGACAACAAAAAAAACCCCTACGTCTAGATGCATCAATCCATGCTCTTTTGGTAACTTTTACTCTGTGTGGAGCTGACATCAAAAACATGCCCAAAACTCTGCTTTGAAGGCGTGTGGGGGTGGATAAGGAACTTTAATTTCCTCGCGCAGTGAAGCCAATAAAAGGTATGAATAGATTCAGCCCAACCTCGTGCTCTGCGGCTCCAGGGCTTTCCCCTCTCCGCCCTCCCCCAGCCTGGCTGCCAGTCTTCGGTGCCCTGGGATTTTGAGGACTGGCTGGAGTCCCTGCTTCCCCCTTAGAGGGCGGCAGCGGGGCGTCTCGGGGACGCATGCGCCCCAAATTGCGCTCGGGGAATTAAAAGAGAGGGAAAAAAGCCCCAAGAAAACTCACGCCCCAAACAAAACGCAAGTAGAGGAGGGCGCGCGGCCTGCAGCCCTCGCCCGCGTCCCCGGCCGCGGCGTGATGCGCGCGGACCAGCCCGCGACGCTCGGGCTGCCGCTGTCCCCGCACCTGGACGCCGGCCCGGTGGCCGCGCCCCAGCCTCGATCGCTCGCGGCGGCGACTGGCCCCCAGGCTCCCGGCGCCGGTGGGGCCCCTCGCTCTCCATGGGGCTGAGGGACTGGCTGAGGACCGTGTGCTGCTGCTGCCGGTGCAAGTGCCTGGAGGAGCGCGCCCTGCCTGAGAAGGAGCCCCTGGTCAGGTGGGTGCACCGCCCGGGCCGGGATCTGGGCTTACCTGGGCCGAGGCCGGGCGCCGGGAGTGTGGACACCTGTGTGCTTGTGTGAGTTGGGGAGGTGGGCTTGCTGGAAGGGCACGCGGAGGCGCCATCTCAGCCCCTTGGTTCCTTATAGGATGTTTTGCGTTTAATTCTTGGGTAAGATTTTTGCCGAAAAGCACAAATCTTCGGAGACACCTGAGACCCAGCTGGATGTCTGTACAAAGTGCCAAGAATTCGGGTGTCCTGCCTGGGCAGGGAAGTAAGGGAGAGAAGTTGATCAGAAGTTTCCATAGGGGTCTGATAAAATACAGCTGTGACTGGGTATTTGATCGGTATATTACAGTGAAACGGGCGGCTGTGAATTTCTGTGTCATTCAGCAAAAAAAGTTGTCTATTTCTCATTCAATTTTATTAACCCAGAGAAGACGATTCCAGTGACTGAGTATGAGGAAATATTTTTCACATGAAAAAAACGCGTGTTTCATCAAGGGGCAGCCTATTCACTAGGATGTTGATTCATTACAGGTTAGGCTATGAAGTGTGAGGAAATGTAATGCTCATTAGCAATAAGCTAAGAGGCTTTGTGAAGAGACCATACCGGCCCAGTTTTGTTCAGGGCTGTGATTTTAAGCAATGATTTTCTATCTCGAGTTTGCTGAAATCGAGGCTGGACTAGGTCATGCCTCAGGGGTAGACATGACAGAAACAGGGTATTTAAAATGGAATTAGGAAACAGTATTTCAGGTGGAACCCCAGGGTTGAGTAAGCCTATACCGAAGCCAGGGTTTCTTTCTTTTGAAGTATGCAAGTCACGTAATACAGCTTGCACAACTTTTTCTAAGGGATAATTTACCTTTTCTTACTCTATCAAGTCCAAACACCCCCTTGACTTTGGAGATCTTACATAACCCCTACCTGCCTGTCCACTGTGATTTTCCAGTACATTAAACAGTGTACACTCCTTGCGGCCGTGGGAATAATCCACTCATTCACTCCAACCCTCCCTCAAGTGGTGACCTTTATCCTTGCTCCTCCTTACCAAAAGCTGTTTTCAAGGCCTTCTCAAGCAATCTTCTTTGATTACTTTGTCCTTATCCATCTTCCTCTTGTAGGATGTAGGACTTAGAAATTACCATCTACTCCTTGCTGTTTGATGAGCACACATGTATATAAACGTGTAACTCATGTATATTATATATATAAAGTCATACACACAATACACGGTGTTTTTGATTGCTCTTGTCGATGGCACTCCCACTTAGATTTTTAGATTATTGTGGGTAGGGAGAAATGGAATAATCTATCTCTAATCTAATGGGTAGTGGGCAACTACAATCTAGAATTTTATGCTTAGGTTATATGCTGAACTTGTCAGGGCTCTTAGTAACATGAAATACAGGCTTGAGCTTAGTTTCATCCTCAGAGGCCTGAGTATTTCCAGTTTTCTGTCCAGGATTGCTGTTTCAGTTAATAGTTCTGGTGGTTTTAAGATCTAGACCCTCTCCTGTCTTGGCTTCTGTCTAGTGAGTACAAGTCAGTGAATTTTGCATGTGATTTTAAGAAGCCCCAGGGTCAATTGGAGCGGAATAGCATAGTGCTTGTGAATCAGGTTGCCTGGAAGGAGTCTGCTCACCCAACTGGGTGACCTGGCACAAGTTATTAAAATTATTTGTGCCTCAATTTCCTCATCTGTAAAATGGGGATGATAATGGTACATACTTCAAAGGGTTGCTGTGAGAGACCAAAGGAGATAATACATATAAAGTGCTTAGTAGAGAGTGTGACACATGGTTAACACTCAATAAATTGTAGTAATTAATTATCATTGTTATTCTGAGCATGTGGGTAGGAGTGGACTGGTCTCATGTGGTTTAGTGTCATACTGGCGTCATTTCCATATAATAATATTTGGGAAGAACAGCTTATTAATGGATACGTGGAACAGTGGCATGTGTGTATATGGGTACCTGCAGGTTCTTTCCTACACAAGGCATCTGAAGATTGGATCTGAAAGCTTTTTTTAGTTGATTTAAAATTTTTTTAAAGTATGCAATTCAGTAGTTTTTAGTATATTCACAAAGTTGAGCAACCATAACCACTATCTTTTTTTTTTTTTTGAGACGGAGTCTCGCTCTGTCGCCCAGGCTGGAGTACAGTGGCGTGACCTTGGCTCACTGCAAGCTCCGCCTCCCAGGTTGACGCCATTGTCCTGCCTCAGCCTCCCGAGTAGCTGGGACTACAGGTGCCCGCCACCATGCCTGGCTACTTTTTATTTGTATTTTTAGTAGAGATGAGGTTTCACTATGCTGGCCAGGATGGTCTTGAACTCGTGACCTCGTGATGCACCCGCCTTGGCATCCCATAGTCGTAGGATTACAGGCATGAGCACTATCTAATTCCAGCAGGTTTCATCACCCCCACAAAGAAACACCATACCCTTTTGCAGTCACTCTTCCCTCTCTTCCTGCCCCCACTGAGGCAACCACTAGTCTACTTTTTGACTCTATGGATTTGTCTGTTCTGGACATTTTGTATAAATGGAATTATGCAATATGTGGCCTTAGGTATCTGGCTTGTTTCACTTCACAGAATGGTGTCAAGGTTCATTGTGCTTTAGCATGTACCAGCACTTCATTCCTTTTTGTGGCTGAAGATTTCATTGTATGGCTCTATCACAGTTTGTTTATCCATTCATTAGTGGATTGACATTTTGATTGTTTCTACTTTTGGGCTATTATGAGTGCTGCTGTGAACATTCATGTACATACAGATTTCTGTGTAGATGTGTGTTTTCAGCTCCCTTGGGTAAATACCTAGGAGTGGAGTTAGTGGACCATATAGTAACAGTATATCTAACTTTTTGAGAAGCTGGCGTGCTATATACAAAAATGACTGGTTTGAAATCTTGATGTGGTGAAATCCTGTGGGCAGATGGTCCGAATTATTATTTTATTAAGAACATCATTCTTCATGTCGATTTTTTTCCGTCTATAAAAAAAGTTTTGTTCAGACATCTTTTGTTCCCAAACCAAATCCTTTACTGATTGAAAGAATGGTTTCCATGTTTTTGCTCCCTAAGGCAATAGTGCATGGAAGAGGTGAGGTCAGGGAAGACATTTGTCACCTGTGTGCATGATCACCTCCAGTCCTTTTCCAAAATGCACCAGGGACTCTTGTTCATTCAGGAAAAACCACGGTTGGTCCCAGCTCATTTGCCAGACTGACAATACCACTGATGACATTGGTCCTTTTGACCTTGGTCCTTTTGCTTTTTCTGGAACCATGTCCCGGCGGGGGGAATGCCTGTGCTTTCTCTGATTTTCATCTGTATTTCTCTCTGGCCCACTAGTTTTCTTCCTTCCTTCCTTCCTTCCTTCCTTCCTTCCTTCCTTCCTTCCTTCCTTCCTTCCTTCCTTTCTTCTTTCTTTCTTCTTCGTTCTCTCCTTCCTTCATTCCATTTCCTTCTTTTCCTTCTCTCTCCTCCTCCTCTCCTCCTCCTCCTCCTGCCTTTCCCTTCCCTTCCCTTCCCTTCTTTCTTTCCCCTTTCTCTACAAATCTGCTGAGGCTTCACTCAACTAAAAATTTGTCCTGCTGTAGTCCTGCCCTTCAACTCCTGTTCTCTGCTGTTGACTGTATAATGCACAAACGTCTTTAAATAATAGTAAACTGTACCCCCACCTGCTTCTTCACCTTTGTATTTTCCCCCCACTTAGAATCACCTGGTAAATTTGTTTAAAATGAAGCTTTTGGGACCCATCCCTAAAGATTGTGACTCACTGGGTCTGGGATGGAGCCTGGAATTCTGCATTTCGGTAAATATACCAGGTAGTTTTGCTGAAGGTGGTCTAGGAACACTCTTTGAGAAGCACAGCTCTAAATGCTGATGCTCAAGATGGGACTGAAGGATTGCATCCATTTGGGTAGCATCCATTTATTAAGTGAGTAGTTATTGGGCTTCTACTGTTTGCCAGGCACTGAAATCTGGTTTCTGCCTCTGGTATAATTGCATGAAAAGTGCTCTCTTCAAAGAGAAAGAAATTGGATGTTCTTTTCTCAGTGTACGTGGAATAGGAAGTCTCCTAACTTCCTTGAACCTTAGTTTCTTCTTTTGTAGAATAAGGAGATGAGATGTTCTTTTCTCAGTGTACGTGGAATACCTCTGTGCAGACTATTCATCCTTTCTTTTACATTTTCTGCTGCCCTGGCTTCTCTGATTTTGCTTTCTCTAGTCTTTTTGTCTGTAAACCTGATCAACCTCATCATGCAGGTTTTCTTCCTGGTGCCATTGCCAATGCCAAAATTGTTAGCAGAGACACCTTTTTGTTTTCTTTACTTTTTAAAACCCTGCTCAGATTTTAAAGACTACCTTTTCAGTTGCCACCTTTTTGATGAAGTCTTAGAAATTCTCCCCAAGAAGTTATGGTATCTCGTTTCTTTCTTTTTACCCCTCGGGTCACTTACTGCATTTTGCCTAGTATTACGTTATAAGGTGGGTGGTATAGTTCCAGTGAAATTGGAGAGGCTGAATCTTACCTTAGTATCCTCTGTGGTGCCCAGCACAGTGGTCTACATGGGATAAGAACTGAATAAATCCTTTTTTTTTCTCTCTCGAGACGGAGTCTTACTATGTTGCCCAGGCTGGAGTGCAATAGCATGATCTCAGCTCATTGCAACCTCTGCCTCCTGGATTCAAGTAATTCTCCTGCCTCAGCCTCCTGAGTACCTAGGATTACAGGTGCACCCCACCATGCCCAGCTATTTTTTGTATTTGTAGTAGACACGGGGTTTCACCATGTTGGCCAGGCTGGTCTCGAACTCCTGACCTCATGATCCTCCCGCTTCGGCCTCCCAAAGTGCTGGGATTACAGGCCTGAGCCACTGCATCTGGCCCGTAGTTTTTGATTAGTAATAATTACAATGAATGTTTGTTTATTAATTGCTTTCTATGTGTAAAAATTTTAAATGGTATTTAAAGCAAAATA